AAAGATTAACAGAAAACCTCCAGCTAGCCTGAAGCACATTATACAGCTTCAGGCGAACACTTGGCAAAAGATTCATTACGCTTCAAACTTCGCCAGTTTTGTAGAGAATACCTTCAATGGCATACCCTAGTGAATGTACTTGACAATAGATACCTGAGTACTTGCATTTTTCTTAAGTACCTATTCGAGTACTCTGCTACAGAAATGTCATAGGTGCTTGAATGTTTTTCAAGTAAATGTTACTTGAGCGGTACCCAATAACAGATTTCGACCAATTACCTTCTCCATGATTTAGGAGCAGATCATTTTGATCTTTAGCTGGAGGTTTTCTGTTAATCTTTACGTCAAAATTTCCTGGTTTTTTCTTGCTAGCTTGAAAGCCGTTCAGATACATATCGATTTGTTTTTAACTACGAGCGGTAGAGGGCACGATCAGCTTAATTAACCACATTATTTACGAAAGTACGCACAAAAACTTGTATTAATTTCATCACTTTAAGTCTCAACCTGTCGGAATTCAGAAAATGAGCAAGTTGCTCCTTATCGCCGCGATTAATTACAGACTGCAAATCTGTGACCGGTACATCTGCTAAGGAAAAGCTAAAGCTTCTAACTTTCGAAATATTTGGTGGGGTAATGATCGAAACGCTGCTCGGAGCTGGAAAATCGCACGAGGGGCCCTTATTTTAGTGAATTAGTCCGCAACAAGTCACTTCTAAAACTATCACACATCGTCGCCCAGATAAATTGCATTCCAAAAAACCAAACTCCACAGTGAAGATAACTCACGAACCTAACTAAAACGAAAACTGCTGCTAAGAAACCACAACTCACGAATTCCCAAACACAATCTAACAGCCGGACACCGTCGCGCTCATTTCAAAAAATGTCATAAAAAACATTTACAACAGAATTTAATCGCCGAAACGCAAAATGTGTCGGTAAAAACCTAATGATAAGCCAGTTCAAAAATGTTCATCACATGCCCGTGACCAAGCTCAGACTAAACTATGGGCGGGATAGTTCTCTAGATTGAGATTGACAGTATACCAGTAAATCGCGTAATCACTGTAAATTCTGATGAAATGATATGAAACGACATTTCAGAAATTATAATTCTCATAAAATGAATCGTCATCAAAATCAAAAAAAAATAAATAAATCTTCCAAAAGAAATTAACAACGTCCGATACCATTAGACGATTTCCCTCTAATCCGCAAGTCGTCAACAATAATATACATCGGATATTATCTTCCAGTTCTCAGGTGGTCATTTTCAAAATACATAGAGTATTACATTCCCACCCTCAACAATAAACTATAGAGGGTATTACCTCAATATCTCGCGGACGTAGAATAGTTAGGATATTGTAACAGTTTTGGGTATCACGACATTTGGATCTGGATATCCTACGGTATTGGATTATAGGTTATCGACTATGCTGATTTCGAATATGACCATAGCAGTTGCGTATAAGTCTCTAGAAACTGGTTTTCTGAAAAACAAGTTTTTCAGAAACTCTAAAAAATAACCAAAGCCTTTCTTAATAAGGTATAATTATAGCCCGCACATTTCTGATTAAAATGAGACATCTCTCAGCTCTGCACGACCTTTCTTTGCAAAATTAAGAGAGGCTGTGGCCCTATTAAGAGAGGCTGTGGTTATTTCATATTTTGCATTTGGTTATAACAGAAGAATTACGGATGATATATCTACAGTTCATTTTTCATCATGGTAAATCGCGCAGCGGCGAAAGATCAACATCGGTAGGTCTGAGATATATATTACTTTTAGAGACTGAGTTTTATGTAAAAAGGAAAGAATTTTGTAGAAAACTTATTAGGCCTATACTAAAAAACCGGTGGAAACGCTTAGATTTTGGCAAAAACTGGATTTAGAAAATCATATGGGATCCTGCTCAATCACAGCGAGTAATCGAAATACGGGTCTCTTATACGCATATCACGTAGTCATATTCCATCGCATGATGTTCGTAAACGATGACGATGTACAATAAAGCGGGGTGTTTTTCTAAATTGACTTCTGTGAGTCCTATTTTACTTTGTTTCCCGACCCGATCCCGTGTGATAATTGGTGTGACGGACGTACAGTCACACAGATACTTGGAAGCTGTGTGAGGGTCCTGTATACACACAGTCAGTTGCAGGATGTGTGACGAGCGTACATACACAGATATTAGTGGGACGGACGTACATACACGCACTGCTTAACATACTGTGGATAGACAGACGCAGAAGGGAGGTGTGAGCGTTGTCTGTGATTCATAGTCATCGAAGGCGGTTCGATATTGCTGTGACGGACGGACGTATACTCACGAGTCAGATACTAGTATGACTAAGGAATGTGCATAGAGATATTAGTATCACTGATGTACATGCACACATATTGTGGATAGTTGTACATACACATATTCTATAACTGATTGTGGATGGGTCGTAAACGAACGCGGACCGAAGGGTAGAATGAGCGTTGTCTTCTTATTCCACAACTACAACGAAAGCTAGAACACTAGCTGACCGGTTCTAACGAGGGGACCTCTCGAGGTTATAAATCGCTTTTTGATTGAAATCTAGTGGGTTATAGGTTATCGACCATGCTGATTCCAAATATGCTTATGGGAGCTGCCCATGGTCATTCGAAGGTACGGTTTTCTGGAAAACCAGTTTCTCAGAAACTGTAAAAAATAACCAAAACTTTTCTTAATGAGACATAATTGTAGCCGGTAAATTTCTGGTTAAAACGAGACATCTCTCAGCTCTACACGAGCTTTCTTTGCAAAGTTATAAAATTTACAAGAAAACTCTAAATCCTCAAAGCTACGTAAATAAGAACAAATTAATTTAGGGCTTTTTATTGTAACTTTCTCTTAATAAGTCACGATTGTAGCCCACGAAGTTCTGATTAATATGAGACATCTACCACCTCTACGCGACCTTTCGTTGCAAAGCTATAGAATTTACGAGAAAAACCCTAAGTTAATTTCTTCTTTTTTCTGTAGCTCTGAGCATTTAGGGCTTTTCTTGTAAATTCTATAACTTTGCAAAGAAAAGTTGTGTAGAGCTGGGAGGTGTCTCATTTTAATCAGAAATTTGCGAGCTACAACTATGTTTCTTTAAAAAAGGTTTTGGTTATTCTTTAGAGTTTCTAAAGAACTGATTTTCTAGAAAACCGAATCTTCGAATGACCATGGGCAGCTCCTATAAATCATATTCGGAATCAGCATGGTCGATAACCTATAACCCACTAGACTTCGATCAAAAAGCGATTTATAACCTCGAGAAGTTCCCTCGTGAGTCTTCGGTGGAGAGCCAGCGAGCGTTATTTGCTTTTATTTCCTGACAGCAAGGGGTTGAAAGCAAGGGTTATATGACCGCAAATGTTTGACTGTCTGTCCGTCCGCAAGAGAGAGAAAACCTCATTTTCTCATCCAGGAAGAGATCTACAGGTATGCAGCTTTCGCAGTAGAAATAATCGACTGTGGAGATCAGGAACTCACTATGAGCGACCTCTTGTGTCAATTCTATTGGTCTAAAATGTCATTTCAACTTGATGGTATAAATGATTTGGAATAAGTAATTGACTATGGATAATCAATTCAGATGCGTTTCAGAGTTATTGGAGATCTCCAGAAAACGTTTAGGATTTCTATGGATTTTGAGTTGTGCTTTGAATGAAAAGCTTGTAGATGAAGTATCCAATGCCTGATGATCTCCTGAGACAAACTTTCTACAGTAAGACAAAAACAAACTTTATTCAGTTGAGATAACTTCAACAGAGGCGTTAGCGAGCAGGGTTAGATCATAGTTTCCTTCAATCGAACGGTGTTTGAAGCATCTCAATCGGCCCTAGCTGTTCTATCCTCGTCGTTAGATTCTTCTATTAGCTCTCGTTCTAACGGGAAAATCATTATAATACAGAGCCATTTTCCCATATTTGCATTAGTGCAAGCTCCGTTTTCATTGTTTGAAACCGGAAAAAATCACAAATAGAACCATAAATTGTCGTACAAAAAGTTAAAACAGTTGCCGGATATGTTTTTTCAGAGATCCTCCATTCATCTGACACAATCCAAGAATGGTGTCACTTTACTGCGTTTAAGAATTTATTTATCAGAGTATTAGTTAAGAAACTTTATGCGATAAAAATAAATTAAAACCACAGTTTAACGCTCCAATATGTTATTTGATATTTGCTATGTGGAAAATGGCCTTCGATCCATTGTTCTAGCATGCTACTCTTATGCATAGTTTCAAAGTAACAATCAAAATAGACGAACATCTTGTTTTTGATTATCTCGACTGAATTTTTGAATTCGCCTACGGATAATCCACATTTTAACACCTTTAGATGAGGTAGTGCATTCAACAGTCTTATGAATTGAATTCTGTTTAAAGACTGTCTCGCTGGAAATTCAATTTCCTCAATTTTGTTTATACGTTGCCGTTCGAGCACATTTACCATTTGATCCAAATTACGTGATGGAAAAAACGTAAGATTTTTTAAATTTGGCATACGTTTTAGCATTTCGAACAATAATTGTTCACTATAATAACTGCGTTTACTTCTACTCTGTTTGAACTCATCTAATTTTAATGTTTGTATATTGTGTAATGGAAAAGGAAAAAATAATTGATCAATTAAAGTTGAATATTGATCAATATTTGTTTTCCAAATTGACCAGTGCATACTAAATTCTATCTGATTTACATTAGGAAATTTACCATTACATTTATAGTTTTGATAGTATTTATCTATTATTAATTTGATCCTTTTTACTCTATCATAGTTCAATCTATCGTCTTTGCACCATTTCATATTCAAGTGATTTAGAGGATAGGGCAACGAATGAATACAAAATGTTCGAGATTCTATATCGTAGTAATTTTGAAATTTTGCTATTGATACTTCGTGATCACCAATTCCCGCTTCAATAAACACTTCAATATTACATGAATCATTTAACCATGACAAAAATCTCGTCTGTAAATCAAAGTCAGTAGAGAAATTATTCGTTTTTAACAAAAAATGTTTCAGTTTGCGTCCTATAAGATGTTGTAAAATAAATTCAATATCACTCCAATCACGTTGTTCAAGAGTAATATCTAGATATGTGAGATTATTTTCAACGATTGCTGATTGTCTCTTTTTATCCAATTTGTTTGAAAATCGTTGAACTGTTAGACTTTTTATAGTTGAATTCAAATAATAAAATATATTTATATCACATATAATAACTGTCAGTGATGTAATATTCAATACATTTAATAAGTTTAGATTTTGTGATGATATTTCAGGTATTTTTACTATTTGTAATGATTCTAACGGTAGAAGTAACGATTCAAGACTATTTTTCGTATCTATATCAATTAAAATCAATGTCGTAAGATTCGTAAATCGCTTAATAATAGGTAAATGAACGGCGTCAATCTTGTTTCTATTTGATAGAGTTAATGAGAATACTTGATCGTAACGCGGTAAGATAATGTGATCAAAGTTATAAGTAAAATCTACGCGTGACATATTCTGGCTAAGGTCAACATGCATTCTGGTAGAATAGACGAGTGAAGTTAGACGAGAATTTAATTTCAAAAATGATCGAGCTATATCCAAATAAGTTAAATAGGAGAAGATTTCTAACCATAATTCATTTGGAAATGATTCCATTGTCATCTTGTCATTGTCCATCGGTTTTTTCGTTGTCTAACAAATACAAATATAAAATCAACTCTGCCTAAAGAGAAAAATCTAACTGTGAATAAGAGGCATAATATTTCCTTTTCCCTAATTCGTTTATATCCCCCTAGACAAAGTAAGTCGAATACACTTTTTTTTAAAATGAATCCTCCATACAATGGAAGTAAGAGTTCATTCATATATCACATGTACCCCGTGCAATTACACGTTCAGTCAACTCTGTTTCATCGACGGCTGCAATAGTTTGCTGAATAATAATACGTATATATCCGGGTACTCTTATATGGCAGAAATTTGTTCTCAAGAATTTTTGAAGAATTTTTGGAAGGATTTTTGAAAACTTGACGAGGGACGAAGCGATGACGATTCAACAACTGCACGAGGCGAAGCCCGCGAGGGACATTTTTTGCTTCATAGCGAAAGACGAAATGGAGACGCTGGACGGAGTTTTCTTCAGTTCACTTGAAAAATATGTTTGTTTAGTAGAGGACATCTACCTTGCACACTGCAGTTTCTTCAAGCGGAAGCTAAAGCTCTAACAGTAACAGTTGTAGGCTATTTCTATCCTATTTTATTTGCTCTTCGTCTTCGTATTACGTGCTCTGTATATAAGACATCCTAGTTATTTTATTTTCTCTTTTACGGATTTTCTCTCTCTCTCTCATTTTATTTCACCCATTCATCTTTGTTAAATTGTTAATAGAACAATCTATTCACTTTATCTGTTTTCTCTTTCTGTTTCTCTTTTGTTTTCTACTGTCTTTCTGATGTTCTTTCGTTTTCTTGCGCATATTTATATATAGGATTGTTCATTGCCAATTTGAGGCTATAATTTACTACACGTTTCGTATAGACAGATACAGAATTTCAAAACAAAATAGTTTTTTAATGGTATGAAGAAATAAGATAACTAATTTCTATTTGCTATGTATTCGCCTGTCGAACTTTATGTCAGAAGAGGAATGATGTCTAAGCTAATACCTGATCTCATGGATCGTAGAGGTCAAAATAAGGTATGAGCTGATATCTTTATATATCGCTCGTCATATGCAAATGCTTATTTTAATTTTTTTCTGGCAAAAGAAATTTGTAAACTATGCATTGTGTTTTTTATCGTAACTTAACAATAATTTTGTGAATTTCTTTTATTTCTATGTGGAGTCACTGATGGAAGAAAGAAAAAAAAAATAAAGCTTTTTCTTTCCATGGAAAAGCTGTCATGCTCAAGAGAAAAGGTTAAAAGAGAAAATGAAACACGTATGTGTATGAGTCATTCAATTCTTGTTTCTATTGCATGATTAATAAAACTCAGCTTATTATAACTATGGTTTCTATAAAGTTTAGTCTATATTGCATCTCGGCCTGGCCAAATGTGACGGAATTCCCTTTTTTCGACTTCTTTGAGCCAGATCTCACTCATTTTAAAAACATAGGTTTTCAAATTTTTCAAAATTTGAAAAAAAAGGTTTCAAAATTTCACATAA